AACTGCTTGATCAAGCCCTCACTTGCACTGATCTTGCACGTACGAACACATCTGTGCCCCACTCAGACATCATAGGCTCTCTCCATGTCTAGACCAAAATGGACTTCAAGTTCAGTTTGGCTTATTTTTCCTACTTTTCAGTTGTACTAGTTACTTTTTCAACCCTAATTTTTCACTTGAAGTAGACAGGTAACACACTGAACCTACCGACACTGTTCAACTAAACTCGGTCGATAAGGGACACTCACTACCACCCTCAGAAAGTCAAGAGGACCGCACAATCGACTGCCTATTGCCAGTGGTCTTGCATCTATGAAGCCTGTTACCAATCAACTGGTTAGGACAACAGAAAATAACATCATCACCAAGTTACTGTGAGTTTCTACCTGTTTATCCTTTATGAACTTTTTACTCTTCTGCTCACTATGTTGACTAGCAATTAATATTTCTCCACTCGTTCCCTTATCCACAACTCATATACTTCTATACTTTTTCCGCCTGCTTAAATAAACAACTATCCTACAATATACCCTTCTTAACGCTTATACTCTGATTGGCAAACTATACTTTATACTGTAGTCAACAGAGGCACTGCATCGATGCGTTACCCACAGTCCATAGCTTGTAATTGCCTGATAAGCTTGTAAAATGGTACTTATAAAAATAGTGCTTTCCAACAGGATGAGAAACACAGAGGATTGAGTGAGGTATGACATATATACAGAAATAAGCTTAAATGAGCCTAACATCACAAAAGGAGGGAGGGTGGAGTTACTGACCAGCAAGCATTGATGGTGAGGGCGATAACTTTAATCCACCCGTGTTTGTGGGGGCAGAACAGTTTGTATGTATCAGGCTTCTCATGATTGAGAATAAGTCAATCAATCTGTGATATAGATTGCCTTCCTACGCTCACCACTCAGACTCATGTTTCCAATATTATGCTGGATTTGCTATTCTACTAAGACAACTTATAACATGCTAACTCGGACTTTTACACTAGGATTGCGTGGCTGGCATCGGCTAAACAAAAAAGGGAAAAAAGTTAGACAACAAAAGATATAGTCATTAGTATTTTTAACGCTTCAACCTCTATATACACACCCTTCTAATAAACCGCTTCCCTTGTACCAACCTTGACTTCCCTTTCCTTTATGTGAGCTTACTCCAACTTGTTAAACATCACAACTCATTGTTCTTTATAAGTACATTCTCTTATATGGAGCCTCTGACTTCATTTCACTCTAACAAGACATAATATGAATTTATTCTAATTTATTATACCTCTGTCCGTTCTACTACACAATGTTAAGCAACGTTTGGCGTTCATATCCAAGTGCCTTGCTGCTCTTCTGTTTCTCTTTTTTTCAGAAATTCGCTCTGAGGGCACAGCTATGAAACTTCTGACGTCTGGAACAAACTTGACGTACGCATGCCCTCATGGTCACGGTTTACAGCAAGCGCTCTACGGGTATACTTTATAAGAGCTATAAACTTAATAAGTTGGGAAGCATTTTGTGAACCAACAAGTGTCGTAATTTATAGATCATGCCTGTAAAAATGGCGTGTACCTGCGCATGCAGAAATATGTTGTTATTATTATTGACAGATATAATTAATGTCTCACCAATAAGAAGTACAATGCCTGACAGCAGAAGATTGGATTGAAAAGAATAGACAAAGAAACAGTAAGTAATTGTAGTAACAATAGGATTGAAAGAATCATGAGGCATGTAAACAAAATTTGACGGAATATGTGCAAATAGTGTAACACTACAGACTTTCTTACTAAACAAGATTTAATGATATTTATTGCAATTTATTTCTAATATGTGTATCACCAAAATAATTTAAAGTAGATATTGAAGATGGCAAACGTATTCAGTGCTTGACAACGCTTTTACCGGTAACACCGTCTAATGTATTTCGTTCCCACCCAGAGAAATCAAAAGACAGAGTCGAGGAGATCGGAAGAGTATATTTGGCGGTAACCAATATATCGGAATTCTCTGATCTAATCTGGCTAGCGATTGCGGTAGATGTTGAGCACGGCGTTCCCACACGTGATCTGGTGCGGATGCATGACCGATCGCCTTCAGCTAGGTGAGTCCATCAAAACATGTGGTCAGTATCCAATGTCGAAAACTTACAGAGCTATTTATCTTGGGAATTTATTTACCGCTACAATATAACAGCACATTCCTAATACATTGAGTGTAGGCATTCTCACTTCTCGGGCATCATTATTTTCTTCGTTTCATAATGAATACAAGTATGGAACGAGTGGTAGCAAGTTTATCTTTGTTGTTAACACCTTAGTGCAGTAGTTGGCCAATCCAATGTCGTTTTATGTTTAAACCTCTGAGTTTGGTGTTGTGAAATCCAACAAATTTAAGATCAGTCAGGCTGGTCATGATTACGTTAAACTTCAACCGTATACGTTAGATTTGTAAATATGCAGTCCAGCTTGATTCAATTACATCAAACTTAAATTCAGGGAGCAAAAACAAAGCTGAGATGTTTGGTAACAGCTCATTCGGACACACCATTACGCATCCCAAACTGATGACCTTTGAATTCACCTAAAGTACGCTGTGACTTAAATAACAGACGTAGGCGCTCCACTGAAGACCATAGTAACCATAGTGATCCCTGATTTCTCAGGGAACCCTAAAAGTCTGTTGCAAATGACGAATTTAAACAATTAAATTAGCTACTGACTAGATTCTGCTTACTAGAAGTTACCAAGTCTTTCCGACAAGCTAGACTGACTCCACTACAATACGTTTTACTGCTTCTAGACTCCGCTTTTCGCTCGGTTTATTTAGACTTGACCTTGTAGTATCCTAGGCACACCCAAACCGTGTTCATTATAACACCGCGCTAACTGCTTGACAAAATTATATAGTCAGTTCGAGGGATTAGTGAAAGTTTCTTCACTAGCCTACACAAAACCTTTTTTAAATTACAGAGAACCAGACAAACAAATAAGACATTCAATCTGAGCCAGCTTAGGTAACGATCTTAGGTTGTAAGAATTTGATATTGGTCCAACTAAGTAAAGTTATATTGCTAATCGAACAAATGCTTTGTATAAGAATAATCTCAACATACTGAATGATCCATGTATAGTTCAGGCAATCAGATATGATGGACAAATCCACGTGAAGGAGGCACTTTTAGTGTAAATTTTTATAAACAAATTTATTACTTAGCTGTTTAGTGCTTCCAGGTTTTCAATAATTGCTTAACTAAGATTGATTCGTGATCTCAATATCACTGAACAATCACGTGCTAACACTATGTACCTTGTGAAAAGAAGAATATCACGCGATTTCTAATTCATTTTGAAATACACACCTTACGGATATATGTAGTATTTTCAATTTCTTTTTTTCTCGCGTTGAATATATTGATTAGAATATACAATAACAACATGACTGTTAAAACAAAAATCCATATCTTCAGATATGATATATGTATATATTTTACGTGACAACGAAATTATATTGAGAATAAAACCTTTTAATAACAAGATATTTATAATGATAAAGTAACTGATATATTTTATAAGCTTTCGACAGTCTAGTAGGATAAATTACAAAAGAGTTTCTATATGATTCGAAATCATAGTTCGCATGTTTGTGAAACATGGTCTTTAAAAATGGACAGTAATGGTAGGGTACTATTATTTGAATTGCATTGTGAATGTCGGGTAAGCAATACTAAGGTTAAACAAAGGGTGCTGGTTAGAGATGAAAAATTAGCTGATGAGATTGTGAATCTTTGTCTAATGAGGCATTTTGAACATCTATTACGTAGGCTCAACCAGGTGGAATGTTAACTGATCCAGGAGTAAGTTGTAAGAAAGTTAGGGAGCGACCAAACCAAGATGTGACGTCGGTCCATGAAGTCACTAACTGTTGAAATGAGCAGTGTAGGTAGCTGCAGACTATATGGTTAGGGTCCGCAGGACTATCACAACCAGTAGTTGAATAAGCTAAGTGACATAACCCTGAATCGGTCGCAGGGATTCAGATCCACTCATTCATTGTTTTCCCTTCGGCAAAATCCGACTCACACGTCCGCGTCGTGCCTCCTGGATAATGAGACGAATGACTCATGAACTAACGTGAGCGGTAACCCGGGTGGTGGAGATCGGGCTAATCACCCACTCTTACCTATACCCATCAACTGATTACGAACTCCACAGATAAACATAGCACAACTACATTTGGAATGGAAAACGACAAAAAAGTTTCTCGAAAGTGGTGCATCTATCATATGGAGTTGCTCGTCATTGGGCAAACTCCAAAGGATTGCAGAAGCAACTATTCTAGCCCTGGTAGTTGTGCTGTGCTTTGATGTGGCCTGTTTCTCTCCAGAAGGGCCCATTAGGCTTCACCAACTTGTTTGACTAGAAGGAGGGAGACCCTTAGTTTTAAAATACTTATACTATGTTGTTTCACAAACTGATACGGATACTATTTCTGCTACTTAGAAATTGGTCTTGGTAATTTTTATCTCACTGTGCACAGATGGTCGAATATGACAAGCTTTAGTTTGCTAATGATTCGAAAAAAGGGATTGAAAAATGAAAAGCACAAAATAATAATAATTGGAGACAGCTGCAAGGTTTATATAATTTATTTTATATTAAACAGTCATAAAATTGTTTGATTTATAAAGCTGAGTGCTACCTTGAGCATTTTTCTTTACTTCGAGGTATTATTCTACACTTTGTATTGTCCTAATACATTTTCCAGAGTTTGGTCAGATTACGAGCGGCATATGTATATATAGTCGTCATAGATTTTCGTTTGATCCGATGTTATTATCTAAGAACTCAAAATACTTTTACATTCTGGTCACGACTGTGAATTCTCAAAGAACTCAAAGATCATAACAATCACGTCTGTCACTTCCAAGTAAGTGACGAATTAGTTAGCGCATACATATGTACATAGTTTACTAACTTGTAACGTTAATTGCTGTCAACTCTAGGACTTTAACATGCTCACCATATTTAAAATAATACAAATGAGACTGCTTACCGGTAGAGTAGATGAACATTCGACTTTTATATTGTCCGGTTTAAGACTATCCGACAAATTTTCTTTCTTGTTACAACTTAACTTCCTCAAGTGTTTGCTTTTATTCAATGGTTTTCTGTAACTATGTTTTCTTTTAGACTTGCTTTCGTGATTTGATTTCTCATTATCATTATTATTACTACTACTACTATCACTATTACGGCGGATTTTCTTTTCAATGCTACTGTTTTGATTGAAAGATCTACTACTGCATTGCGAATCACTTCTGGTACTAGTAATAGTAGTATCATTATTACAGTATTTTGTGATGAATTCATCATTTGAAATTTCTGATTCATTCTCCACGGTTGTATGATCATCACTATCTAATGGATATGAGAGAAAATGAAACGAATTTAAACCATAGTTTAAGATCATTGCTTAAATACAAATGACTTCTTTGAGAAGTGTAATCATGTTGGAAGAGTCGCAAAAATATCCCCCCACCAAAGTTTTTAGAGGCCCAGAAAACCTAGAAGGCCTTTTATCCAATCAGCCTTGAGTATAATCATCACAGAAACATCCAGTAAATGCAGAACCACGTGTCACGGTTGTGATTGGATATCTACCTGTACTGCTACTGTTTTTAGTATGGTTCCAGAAATCTAAGGACAGGCGTGACACTGTAAACACCCTCATTTTTCTGCACATAAACTAACCTTGGAGTAAAGCTTTTATTCGTATTTCGTGCCTTTTCTGTAGCATTTCAGTTGACGTACAGAAGTAGTTAGGGATATCAGAACTAGCTAGGAAGACAATTTAAGCGGGTCGGTAGCAAGAATTATCAAATCAAAACTTCTAGGTTCCGTATTAATACCACAGTCAGTCAGTCGGCTACAACGTAGGACAAGGTACATATATACATCGATCTAAGTTGCCATACTTCATTAGCACAACAAGGTGAACACTAAATTCATAGTAGTTAATTCAATGGTGGTAATACATAAAAGATTGCATATAAGGATATAGTACAGAAAGAATTAGTTGGTAGAAAGAAAGATATAAAGCAATTTTAATCTCATAGTTTAAGGGAAGACACAGAGTATATACACCTACGACACATGAGATACTGAACAAGCTTGACCACAACTACCAACATATTATTTCACATCACCAAACTTGATGACAATGTGAACTATCTAGTAATGGGATAACATGATTCGAATCGGATAAGTTGCTGGCTTTTTTAACTCAAGACCATTTTTCGGTAATGTTGAACAACTATTTTACTGTTATCTATCATTGCTATGCTTGGCTTTTGTTGACCGTCATTACTGCTCACAGTGATTACCTACATATTTTATAAATCTACATTTAATTCGTTTTCGCCTAATAAGAGTATTCGAATTCTATCACAATGACTTTCTTAGAATTCATAATATGAATTTATTCTAATTTATTATACCTCTGTCCGTTCTACTACACAATGTTAAGCAACCTTTGGCGTTCATATCCAAGTGCCTTGCTGCTCTTCTCTTCCTCTTTTTTTTCTTCAGGATCTTGCTCTGAGGGCACAGCTATGAAACTTCTGACGTTTGGAACAAACTTGACGTACGCGTCCTCTCAAGGTCATAGTTTACAGCAAGCGCTCTACGATTCCACTTAATAACACTTGTAAACTTAATAAGTTGGGAAGCATTTTGTGGACCAACAAATGTTGTAATTTATAGATCATGCCTGTAGAAACGATGTGTACCTGTACATGCAGAAATATATTATTTTTATTTTTATTATAAGCTTATATCTCAAATCAAAACATTCACAACTCGCCAGTTTATCATTTTCCAAACAATTGTGGAAAATCATGGATTCTTTAAGTGATGCAACATTGTCTTTATGCTCATTCCAAGTCACAACACCGCCAGACTCTTCTAGTTCTTTAAGAAAACGTATAGCAATACTGCTTGGCTTCGGCTACAATTGTGGATTCACACACAAAAAAACTATTTCAGTCCACAGAAGAACATAAAGCCTTTTTACCCATAATCTTTGACCACAATTTGAATGATATGAACCACTGATTGGTAGCACTGATACGTAAATCGAATATAAATAATAAATCCTACGTAAATACAAATTAAATTTCAAACCCATTTCCATAAGATTCATTACGAGACTCATTAGACTGATGTAACTCCGTTGGATTCACCATGTATGATGTTAATGGATTCTGTTTTCTTTCTATTACAGAACGACCAAGGATGAACGCTCTGGAAGAAGGACGAGGTCTGCGTGCACTGAACTTACAAGATGACTCATAAGACTATTTTGTAAACTAGACATTCTTTCTGTACGTGGCCCGCGAATTCCGATTTTCAAGTAAAGGACTCGTGGCTTCCATTCCGTGTCTTATCTTGGTGTGAAGTTCTCTTTTAACATTGTGTGTTGTGGTTTCAGGTCTTCTCCGCCTTGTAGTGACTGCTGATTACACGTGTTACACTGATATTCTATATACGTGTCGGAATTAACACACTGCACGAACTTCAGTTTGTACATTCTAGTAGACGTTTACTAGAAATGTTGTTTTCTACGGGCTGTGGTTGATGACTCTATTCTCAATCCTCCTTCTTTACCAGGATTTGAGAACGTCAGTAACCGTAGAAGAGCTACAGATTTACACAAGACAGCTCTACTGTATGGAGCTGAAAATGTGTGTAAAATGTACAGGTTGATAACCATTGTGTTCGATACTGAACACATGGACGTTTATTTATTTGATGAATCATTTATATATAAATATAACAAATTTACTCAATGTTTTAAGTTTTTGGAAGAAGCGTAATACAAACAAATAACACGTAGAGCCTCAGATCCTCTGTAAATTTGATGAAATTTTGCATAACAAATCTTATTTACTGTTTGACGAAATCGCTTCCCACGTATTCGTAAGTTCTCATAACGAAAAGATTACCTAAGAAGCGAGCACTTGGTTATTCCTGAGTGTCTCAAGCAGTTACTCATGAACTTTAATATTATATATTATAATATTACAAAACAAATGTCACACCGAAATAAGCCTTGGGGGAAGTGGAGTCTTACCTAGTTAATAATCTTTCTTAAGTAATAATTATCGACTATTCTGTTGCATTAACTCCGCCTGTAGCTTTTCTAGAGTTACTGCCGGTCCCAAGCCCGGGTAAAGGAGGAGGGTTGGGCATGGGGTTAGCGTCCCCATCCCGTGGAAAACTAACTCGCTAAAAAACCGCTTACCAGAAAAAATAATTAAAACCATTTTAACTCTGCCCTGAGAGTTAGAAGGTCTTCATTTAGAAGAATTATGACGCTTCATGGTGAAAGCCGAGTTCCTTCGGAAGGCACGAGGCCGATGCCCCTTCTAACAACCAGAGCAAAAATTTTTATAGGTACATGGAACGTTAGAACAATGTGGGAAACCGGGAAGACCAGCCAAATAGCAACGGAAATGAGGAGATACAACTTGGCAGTACTGGGAATCAGCGAAACCCACTGGACCCAAGCTGGACAGAAAAGGCTAGCTACGGGAGAGATGCTGCTATACTCCGGTCACGAAGAGGACAATGCTCCACACACTCAGGGAGTCGCTCTTATGCTGTCCAAAGTAGCACGAAATGCACTTGCAGGATGGGAATCCCACGGATCCAGAATCATCAAAGCATCATTCAAAACAAAGAAGGAGGGGATCTTAATGAATATTATCCAATGTTATGCACCCACCAATGATAGCAACGACGACATTAAAGATCAATTCTACGAGCGGCTGCAGTCAATCATAGAGAAATGCTCAAGAAAGGACCTCACCATTCTGATGGGAGATCTAAATGCCAAGGTCGGAATAGACAACACTGGATATGAAGATATTATGGGACGACATGGACTGTGAGAGAGGAACGAAAATGGAGAAAGATTTGCGAATTTGTGTGCATTCAACAAATTAGTCATAGGAGGCACAATATTTCCACACAAACGTATACACAAGGCTACATGGATCTCACCGGACCACACTACAGAGAACCAGATAGACCATATTTGCTTCAACAAAAAATTCCGAAGGACAATGGAAGATGTGAGAACCAGGAGAGGAGCTGACGTAGCTTCAGATCACCACCTAGTTGTAGCCAATTTAAAACTGAAGCTAAAAAAGAACTGGACAAGTGTACAAACAGCACTACAAAGGTTCAATACAGCCTTCCTTCGAGATACTGACAAACTCAATGAATTCAAGATAGCTCCCAACAACAGATTCCAAGCCTTTCAAGATCTACTGAAGGAAGAAGAAACTACCATGGAGGACAACTGGAAAGGCATCAAAGAAACATTGACTTCAACGTGTCAAGAGGTTCTGGGCCTAAAGAAACACCATCATAAGGAATGGATCTCTATAGAAACACTGGACAAGATCAAAGAAAGGAAGAACAAGAAGACAGCAATTAACAACAGCCGAACACGAGCAGAGAAATTCCAAGCACAAGCTGAATACATAGAATCAAACAAGCAAATGAAGAGGAGCATTAGAGCCGACAGGAAGAAATACGTGGAAGAATTAGCAACGACGGCAGAAAAAGCTGCTAGAGAAGGAAATATGAAACAGCTCTACGATACAACGAAGAAACTATCAGGGAAATACAGTAAACCAGAGAGGCCGGTCAAAGACAAAGAAGGCAAGCCAATCACTGAAATTCAACAACAGCGAAACAGATGGGTAGAATACTTCGAGGAACTCCTGAATAGGCCGGCTCCAATGAATCCACCGAACATCGAAGCAGCACACACAGATCTTCCTATAGATGTCAACCCACCAACGACGGAAGAAATTAGAATGGCCGTCAGACAAATCAAGAACGGGAAAGCACCAGGACCCGACAACATACCAGCTGAAGCACTGAAATCAGACGTCGAAGTAACCACAAGCATGCTTTACCCTCTATTCAAAAAGATTTGGGAGGAGGAACAAGTGCCAATGGACTGGAAAGAAGGACACCTCATCAAGATTCCAAAGAAAGGAGATCTAAGCAAATGTGAAAACTACAGAGGCATTACACTACTGTCAATACCAGGGAAAGTCTTCAACAGAGTGTTGCTGAACCGGATGAAGGATGTAGTAGATGCCCAACTTCGAGATCAACAAGCTGGATTCCGAAAGGATCGGTTGTGCACAGACCAAATTGCAACACTACGGATCATCGTCGAACAATCAGTTGAGTGGAACTCGTCACTATACATCAACTTCATTGATTATGAAAAGGCATTCGACAGTGTAGATAGGAGGACATTATGGAAACTTCTTCGACACTACGGAGTTCCTGAGAAGATTGTCAATATTATCCGGAACTCATACGACGGACTACAGTGCAAAGTAGTGCATGGAGGACAGCTGACAGATGCATTCCAAGTAAGGACCG